GGGGCAATGGGATAACTCAGTCAGTAGCAAGTTTGGGTTGTTGTCTGCTTAGAAAGTGAGATAGATCATTCAGCCGCTTGATCGATTTTCGTCTACCAGGGCATTGGGTAGCTCAATAAGTAGCTAGTTGGATTCTCGTCTGCTTGTCAGCTGCGAGATGAATTGTTGTTGTCTGATGAGTCAGATGGATTGTCGTCTCTTAGGACAGTGTTATGGCCGAGTCGGTAATGAGTCAGATTGTCGTCTGTGAGGACAGCAGGACGGCTCAGTCGATAGCGTTCAAATAAATTAAACATCAGAAAAATAAGCTTACCTGGAGTAATCTTTTGCTGGTGGTCGACCTCAACACAGATTCCAGAATCCCCGGCCGAGGCTTTGGAATATTCCACATCATCATGGGGTTCTCTGATCAGTCGTTTTTCCTTGATACGGCGGTAGTGAACCATTATCACATAACCAAGTAGGCCTACGACCACTGCACCTAATATCGCGCAGTACAGAGGGATAATATCAATATCCTTTCCTTCTTTCTTGGATTGCTCGGTCTGTACTGATTGTCCTTCATCCAGTTCAGCTAATTCTTCATTGGAATATCTGTATATTGGTAAGGCTGGAAATATACAATGTGAAATTATAAAAATGGCGTCAAAAGGAAAAGAATAGAATCACAAATACTGCATTTGAGAAAATGGAATGTACTTCCGGTTGAAATATCAAACAGGAAGTGAGCAAATTGTATCACTCAGGCTAATTAATTAAATAATTATTTTGTTTTATTAGCTCTTATTTTTAATATATCCACTTCAGTTAGGGTCTAACGAAGGCCTCTTGAACGTTTGTCAAATTAACCTTTTGACGAAAGTTCAAGAGGGCTGCCGTTAGACCCTAACTGAAGTGGCTATATTAAGAATAAAAGCTAATTAAAAAACAGAACAAACGTAACATACAACGAGCGCCAGTAACATTTGATTATGACATTTCTTTATAGCGGACGTTAAAAATGCACACGAATATTGCTTTGTGTAATATTTCATGAGCATCATCGCATGTCGCTTTTGGCATGCTCCCATTTATTCGATAACGATCAGGGTGTATAATCATTTAAAAATAATGCCATGTTCCTGGATTTCAATGGGTGCATTCATTAAAATAAGGGATGCGTTTTCATATTTCAAATGTCTTTTCAAATTATGGGAAGAGAATTCAACGAAGAGCGCTGCCTCTTTTAAGAATGACGAAAAACTCAAAAGATATGGATTTAAAAAATGTTTTTGATCTTATCAGGGTTTTTATCGCGATTCATCTCTCTCTTACAAATTTTCATTTTGTATGGAGGTACAGTGCGGCCTATACGCGAAACTTCCACCCGCCGTATCAATGTTAATTTTTCTTTTCTTAATTTAAAAAAAAAAATTCATTTCACTCTGCGAAGTACGAATTTTGGATATGTAAAGATGTACTAGAAATGTACAAAAAATGCATTATTACCTCAAAAATACCTCAAACTAGGAATTTCGATTTATATATATTATGTCTTTTCTGTATATTGCAGAATCCCGCGAAAAGATGAGCCGTCTTTTTAACTTTCAAAAGCGGATAGGCCTAATTTTGGACAAAGATGGCTCATATTTCGTCGGTGAGCTGTGAATATTTTTTCTACTAGCTAAGCTAAAAAAAATCCCATTTCTGGGGAGGGTAAGGTTCGATTGGTTAAACGGGTGGTGTGCCTGTCCCTTCAATATAAACCTTGACTAAAACCTTAAAAGCCTTTGTTTCCTATGTTCAAATGTGCGAATTATGCAAATTTTCCTGAAAATGTCAGATAACGTAGATTATAGATCTAATTTGCATAATACCTCTTTGATGTTTTAATTACGTCACACATACCATAATTATATATACACATGAAGGCGACAAATTATGCAAATTAGATTTGTTATTAACAAAGTGCTACGTTAACGGGATTTTTACAGGCAATGTCTAGATAAAATGAAAAAATCTTGCTATAGTGCATGGGTTACCACACTCGCCATGCGTTTAGTTGTCAGCTTTTCTATACATTTTACAAACGTCTGGTTCTGCTTTCAGTTACCCTTTGATACGATTTGTTTAGTAGAAAAGAGCAAAAAAACTAAAAAACGTGTTACCAAATCGGGGCACGCATAGTTTCTGATAGCCTTATTCCGATTTCTTGTACAAAGAAAAACAATGGTCCTATGTATATCCGAGTAAAATATATGAGAACCCACTGAACGGTAGCAAATAACACCAACCGTATCTTTAAATAAGCAATAAGTCTCTGTGTAGGCATCTTGAAACTAATTTCTAGGCAGTTGTTAAAATAGAACAATAGG